AATTACATCCACAGAACGTTCAAATAACTTGAGATACGCTGTTTGAGAGATAAACCGCTAGCAAATTCTGACGCGCGTTGTGAGGTATTAGTTGGAATTATCAGGCTTGTAAAGGCTATTATTTAACGTAAGTAATAACATTAGCAATTCCCGTTTAAATAATTGATGGTAATCCTTGGTCAAGAGTTAACCATTGAATTTTTTCAAACTCTTCAATTTTTAAATATATCAATATATTATAAAAATCATTTAAAATTATCAAATAATATAAACGCTAATTTTAAATTATTTCTATAATATATGTTTTAAAATTGCAGCAAAAAAGAAAAGATACTTTGCACAAAATTAAAAGAGATATTAAATATTACATTATATTAAGTTTTATAAATATCGATAAAATATGTAAAGTTGTGAACATACTAATACATTTTATTAATTTTCTATGCAACATCTATTTGCACCAAGTCAACCAAAATAATATTTGGTTACCTTCTCGATAAATTAATTTAATAAATTATATTGTTATTATTGTTTTACTACTGATTACATTAATACATAGATTATTATTATCTAAATACATATGTACTGCAAATAAACAACAAACAAGGAGTAATTATAACGCGTTCGATTCACGTTCGGTCCGATATAATCGATCGCGATATAATTGATCGAAACATGTTTCATTTAAATTTAATTTCTCATTTGCATTACTAGTTTGCCCTTATGTTAGCGAATAACCACCTTAATAACCGCACATTATGAAATGAATTCACATATGTTTCGTCAGCGCTTTACCTCAATGTTCAATATTCTCATGGATAAGATCACAACACGCAATAAAAAGGTTCTCTGTATGCAGATTCTAGGGAGAATACTTGCCGTAATTAAGGAGTAATATCGGATATAAGCAGTGTCAGCATTATTAAATGGCTTCTGATATTCCTCGGTTTCATCGACGCATTCGAGCGGGTTCAGTCATTTGGAAAAAGGGATCGAAAGAAAGGTCGGGATCTCCCCTCCGTCCAGATCCGCCTCCGCTACGTTATCGAGATATATGAGAGAGATAGGGAGAGAGAGAAGGGGAAAGAATGGATGACGAATATCATTAAAAACGTATTTGCTTATCTTATAGATGCGGTAATGGCCGTTGGTTACCTCACGCGATCGTCATGATTCTGCGATTTTTTTTTTTACGATGGTAATAGGGATCCTAGATTCCTATCATATTTGATATTTGCCTAATGTAAAAAGCGTGTACTCTATGCAAAAACACGTAATGTGAATGTTTTTTTTTATGTAAACAACTCTCGTGGAAGGTAAAATATTGTAATATTTTCAACTCTCAATAAAAATACAATGGATGAATCGTTAAAAAAGATCTAACCTACGATAAAAATTGATATATTGATATGATATATTATTAAAATATTATTAATACTATTCGCGATGATTTTAAATAATATCCATGCCATGTTTGTAAATATTATTCCGTATAATTTTTACGTAAAACCGTAGTTTATCATTATTATTAGTATTTTATTATTAAAAAAATTAGCAAAGTAAAAAAACTACTAAAATATTTCTCAACTATTACTTAAATTATTATTATTTTAGCGATGGCAATATATTTTTATTTCGTATACTAAAGTATATATTTTCTACTATTAAATTATTTTTTTAATTGATGATTTGTAATGACAGAAGACATTGTTACATCGACAATATTAAATATAATTTTCTGTGCATTTTTTTCGTTTTTATAATAGAGTAATCAAAAATTTCTTTATATGAATAGATATATTCTTCTCCCATTCTTGTCGCTGGAATTGCATGGAAAACATTCGGTAATTAAATAATATTCCATTTAAGGAATATCCGCTAATTCCTACTAATAAAGTCAATCTTGTAGACCGAAATTCTCCAGCGGTTAATCCGTCGACTATATGCGTCTAATCTCTAAAGACAAGGTAGTTATGCCAAGCGCATCCTTTGACTACGTAACTATGAAGATGTACTAGTATATGTTACTTGTATATGTTGTCAGATCTATCACATCTCGGTACCCTCATGTCGCAACAGCTAAAGTTAACGAGATAACGTATTCGCCCTTATCTTGCTTGAATGTATTTGATCGGGACATCGTGTGAAATTTAAAAGTATTAAGAAACTTCGATACGATGGATACCGATCTTATCGATAAAGTGCGACTGCCAGCACCTCACAGATACGTGATCAAAGGATGCATCACACATACAGCTCCCTCTCTTTAAAGATTTATCGTATACCTAAAATCGTATATTCTATTCGATTTAATTAAAGCCGTTTCGTATCGTTAAAAAAAGACATTTTGTAAATTCAATTTTCGGATTTTTGTAAAACTGGTATCGCATATAGAATATTTTTAGAATTTTAATTTAATTGATAAAATTTTTACTCAAAAAACTTTAGTATTCTTACATTTCAAGAAGAATTTGACGATTAATGTATTATAAAAAGTGCAACGTTTAAATAATTATAAAATAATAAAAAAATAAAAACAAGAAATTAAATAATTAAAAATACAATCAAATAAAAATACAAGAGATTTCTAAAAATATAAATGCCAAATTTTCTAAAGAAATTAGGCCACGTATACTACGATCAATACATATAACAAACGTCCGATGCTTTTTACAAAAGCACGATATATTTTTGCAATTACCGTAATAAAGTACGACACGGAATAATTTGATCTGTGTCCTGATATTTGCAGATGAAACGTATCCAAATCTCATTTGAGCGTACTAACGAAACAAATGGGACGCGAGATACGTACAATTTATGGCAAAGGTGCATTGTGTTCGTATATGAGCGCGATGCAGATAAATCCGCTAATTAATACCATGCTGTTAATTGCAATCCGTCTGTCCAATGAGAAAGTATAGAACGGCCCGTGTCGTGAAACATGTCGATTAATATCGATTACATTTCGCGTCGATTACGGCACGTGGCCGATTCGATGCCATAAAATCGTACGAGGCGATAACGAGATCTAATTCTGTCGCGTGTTGCATAATGAATAGCGAGTAACGAGCAACGAATGCTGTCACCTGTCTGCTTTTTGAGAATGTGTCACGTCTCTATACCAATATGGAAATGGATTATATTTGGAACGTTTATATTTCACAGAGTGAAAATGTGTAAATTATTTTTTAATTAAATTATTTTAATAATTAATATATTAATACAGTAATTAAAATAATTATTAATCAAGTATTTTTATCAAATTTTCAACAAGAAATATTGCCTAAGACAAAATGAAATTATTATCAAATGTCCTGGATATTTGTATTGTTAAAATGAAAAGCAAAAGTCATGAAATTACGCAATGAATACGACTAGTATATCAATAATGTATTATATTACATTAAATTAATGCAAATTGTTATCTAATATCTGGAAATTCCGCAATTAATGTATAAATATAATAAATGTTTCGACTGGTTACATCCCATAGCTGTATCATTTACATCTCATGAATCGCAATTGTAAGCATAAACAATGCAATGCAACGAAATGTACAAAAGTAAATCTGTACTGTTGGCATATTTGAAGGAAAGCGTTTTTTTCTGATAAACTACTCTTCATTATTGTTTGTAAATGATGTGCGAACATTGAAAATTCTGGAGCTCCAAGTCACTATGAATAAGTTGTAAAAATGTAAATTCAGGTAGTTTTTCAAATTGTGGCAGCTGTCGTGAGAAAGAAATTTAATAATAAGATATTGCACGTGCCAAGAGATTTCCCTTTTTTGTATTTAAAACATTTTCCCTTTCACGACACGCAATTCAGCACATACTTACGCGCAGAGTTCGAAGAGGAACGTATGAAAAAAAAGCAACAGTGCGGAGAAGTTTAATAGTAGAAATTTTCCACATCCATTAAAATTAAAAAGATCATTAACTTTTAACGAAGGAGAAATCACTGCGGAATTTTGATGTACAAGGTTGAGGAATTAATAGATCGGCGAGTACATTGCATAATTAATTATCACGTATATTTTTATTCCCACAATATGTTCATTGATCCTTTAATTAATTGCGAACTCAATCTGTTCAAAGTTTCCCAACCAAAAAAAAAAAAAAAAAAAAATCCTGGAGAAAGTTACTCTTGAAATAAATGTATGATAAAAGTCGCTTAAAATTATTATTCGCATTTTTTACTAGATAGTTGTGTTTAAATTATTTCAACTGGAAAAATGATGAAATATTTCCGGTCTCGCCAAGTTGTGCGAGCAGACAGTCGCATTTCACTGGACGCACTCTACACACGCTTACATAGTATATTTATATCCGCGCTTCCGTCCGCGTTTAGCAAGTCGTTACGCTGAATTTATACATACTGTATATATTGCATGCACGCGGTGTTCCGTTGGTTTAACGTTCCGAGTGTCGTCTCTCACCAATTACTACGGAGGAGAACGTACGTAAATGCGTGTGAAATCGCGATCGGATCTGATTGACCGAAGCATTCCTCGCGATATCTCATTATAAGTCTATCAACGCGACTATTATTTTATTTATTTACTATTTATTTATATCACGCTTTTCCTCGTTTTTCCCCCTTTCTCACTGTCATCCTCTCCCCTCTCCCTCTCTCTCTCTCTCTCTCTATCTCTCTCCACTGGATGTTAACCCGGTAGCCTACTTCTCTCGACGTCGACAGCCCGAAGGCTTTCGAAAATACTTCGCGCGGCTGTTCTCGACGCGGCTTTGACGTGAGGCGCCAAAAGATAGCCACGATAAATGTCTTGAAGAAATATTGCCTCATCATCGGATATTGTAAAATTTTTATGAGAAATGTATATGTATAGAAAAGCAAAATATATATGCACGTAGATAAAAAATTTGCACGGATAAAAAAAGGCACACATAAGTCAAATAAAAATAGGAGCCTCTCTCTCTCTCTCTCTCTTTTTATCTCTATCTCTCTACAGAGAAAAGTGCATTGAATTTACTCACCACGTCGGCAACGTTGCCGGAGCCCTCCCTCATGCCATCCCTGTCCGTGTGTCCTCCTGAAAGATAGCACATTTTTTTTTTATTTATAAAGTTATTTCGTACTCGGCGAAATTATTCCATTTCGCGTTTAAACGCAGTCCTTTTAATTAGTTGAAATTTATATCTGTTTTTTAAAGCATGCTTATCAGTTATATACTGCAATAACTTGTGCGTTTTTTATTGACTTTTGATGAAATTCAAAGTGACGAGGCAGAGATCATTGGAAATTCTGAATTTTTTTCTGAGACATGGAGACAAAAAGTCACAATGAAAAGAAAGTACAAGAAAAGAAAAGATCTGTTATCGCTCTGCTCATGCACGGCACGAATCGTCTACGTTTTGTCAAATTGTCCGAACGAACAATGAGCGGCAACAATCGGAAAGAGATGCCGATTGAAATTGCGAAACGATCGATTCCGTAGAAACTGTTCCATCAGATTTCTGCCGTAAATCATCTACAGCGATCGTTGAAACGGAAAATTCCGTTCGCGTGCGTCTCTAACATCTTTCGAATGTAAATACACAGCTAAGAGACAAATAAATTCAGCAAACGGAGTACTGTCGGACGGGGAATAGTAAGTCCGATGCTTTTTAAGCTGTGCATGCTCTTAAACTTTTTTGCATTTAAAATGAGACAGAACTTAAACTTGAGTGGAAAAAGAGAAAAGAAAAAGAAATTAGATAAAGTACATAAAAAAATCGTTAACACATGCGAAGTAGCAGATGGAACGTAAAGGACAAACATGACTCACTGCACGCAATACACAAATAAATATATGCGTATTCGATATCGTTAGATAAATTACATAGAGACGAAGACGCTTCCAAAATATTGTAAAGTTAGCGTCAAAATAAACTCGAGGCTTTTTATTTCGCGAATGATTTTTATTACTTATCATTCTGTATATTTTGCAATAGATAAAAAATAATGTGTTATAAATTAATTTATAATAGTTTGCATAGATAATTATATTTATATATTAATTATGATATATNACCTTATTTTTTACCAATATACATATATACAGGGTGTCTACTCAAATTTAGTAAAAAAATTCCCTAAAAATTCCCGGATTTTCCAGATATTTTTGTTCAAAATTCCAGGTAAAAAAAATATTTTAAAGAATTTTTGCAATTTCCTAAAATAAATTTTTTTATTGCACGCGTTTTCTAACGCTTTTCATTCATTCAAAAAAAAAAAAACACAAAAGTTTCAAATGCTATATTTACAAATGTACTGAAAAGAAAAAACAATAATTTCGTTAAGAGAGAAAAATTTTTAATTTGCATAACATTTTCATTTTTTTATCACTAAAAATTAAAATAAAAAATATAAACTGCATACTCAATATTTTGTTGAGACATTCAATATATAAACAGAGATAGATATATAATTTATAATATATCATATTTTAAACACAAAATTCACAACTAGGTTTATTGGCAGATTGTCTACTAGTCTACTGCTTACTGCTAGAATTGCAAGAACAAAATTATCAGAGAAAGAATTTTTTTTTTAAATTTCCTGGCTCCCAATAAAATTCCCTGAGAATTCCAGGTTTTCCATGTTTTTCTAAGAGAGTAGACACCCTGTATATGTATCTGCACAGAAAGATACATTTGATACAATGTAATATGAAACATCGAATTGTAAATTGTCGTCGATTCTCGTCCTGGAATCGATATCCGTATAAAAGGATTGCCAAGAAGCATGCACGCCAGCCGACTTTTCCTCGATTCCTTCGCTCGCGAAAGGGGGGGGGGGGGCCGGCCCCTTCGTGCGACGGAATCGCGTGTGTTCCCGCTACTACGCCGCTTTCTCGGGAAAGTACGTTTAACCGGAGAGCGTACGCGGTGGCGAAATCGTTCGAATCAGCGACTTCTACGATGCTTCAAACTAGCTTTACTAGCTTTAATGGGATCCAACACTCTCTAGCATCAGTAACTATCGGTCAGAACCAAGTTCGTGACTATGGGTTACTATGAACTTCTTGGGCTGTTATCGAACGCGCGTCTTATCACAAACGTTGAAAGGACGTGAAAATCGCACGTCAATATACTCGTTTAAAGCTAGAATATGATAGAGATGAAACAGTATATTTGTATTTTATTTGTATTTTATTTATATCTTATATTTTTTTGTATTTTATTTATATCTTATTTTTTTTTGTATTTTATTTATATCTTATTTTTTTGTATTTTATTTATATCGTATTTTTTTGTATTTTATTTATATCGTATTTTTTTGTATTTTAAAAATTTTTTTGCGATATGCAAATTTAAATAGAAGCGAAATTACATCAATTTTAATCATCGTTTTGCAATGGAATGCGAATTTATTGAGAAACTATGACGGTTTCGATTTACGGATAAAACGCAGATGCCAAAGAAACGCGCGATCGAATTATTCGAACGGAACCAATGGCAAAACCGTTTGATCGATTAGCGATGCCCGATCGCTCGAATATCAAAAACAATTCGAGCGTGAAACAAATCGCTCGTTTCACGGGCACACAAGTAACTAGTTTTTGTTTGTTTTCTTCTCTCGCAACATCATGTGCGTGTGTTTATGTGTGTGTCTAACGTTGCTTTACCCAACATTTCAGACACGCATATTTCGAGAAAATGCAAATGAATTTCGCGAGATAATTCCAATGTTCTCGATCTCTTGAAACGTCACTCACCTTTTTTACGAATTGGCAAAATCTTGGCGATCCTCGACGCGCCCGCGTAATCCAGATCTCGATCGGGGACTGCCTCTGATTCCTTCGTCGTTTCCGATATTCCGTTTTCCACGCTCGCGCGCACCGATATACGACACACACCGATCCTTTCCGCTCTCCTTTTCCCGAGAGAAAGAGAGAGAGAGACGCCTCTTTCTCTCCCAACCGACACGCGATTCTAACCTCGAACTGTACACACTGATAACTGAACACGAACACAAGCACGCGACTCGCCCCCGACGCGAATGACAGTTCGCGGTCGATCTTCCGCGACCTGTCAAATCCCAACGCGAATTTTCAGCCGCTCGGACGCTCGCGACGATCGAAAGTCTCGGAGTTAATCTCGATCGACTCCTCCGCTCGTATCATACTGAAACACAATGACCGAGATGAGAACACTAGTAAATCCACTTCACTCGCGCTCTACAGGTACGGGGAAAAATATACCTTCTTGTCACGAAACGATATCGAGATTCGTAGAGAGAGATAGACGAGAAAGAGAGAGAGAAAGAAAATACAATTTCCACGGAAATATAACAGCGATTCTTCGCGCGGTTTCGAGTTTCAACAAAGACGAGGTATATAACACACGGTACACTCGCTTCCACGCTCGTTTCTGCTCCGCCGACGATCTCGTCTACCTGTCAACTCCGGCGAATTCGAACTTTCGCGCATTCGCGCACGGGCTCGCGCGGAGCCGACCAAACAGACCGAAGATAGGTAGATAGAGAGAGAGAGAGAAAGAGACGCCCTCCAAACGCCAGCGCGTATGTTGCGGCGACAACTGTTCGCGGCGGATCTCCGTCCGTCCGTCCGACCGACGCGACTCGACCGGGACGGGACGAGAGACGGAACGAGGAGGAGACGCGACCGGACGGCTTTCTCAAAATCGTCCATACGGCGGCCGCGAGCGCGATTCTCTCGCGGTTATAACGGGGGAGAAAGAAAGAGAGAGAGAGAGAGAGACAGAGAATGGCAAAGAAACGAAAGAGAGCGTCGAACGAGACACATATATATATACACACACATACGTACGACTTTTCAAAAATACCACGCACCGACCAATCGGCGTATATATACGGCGGGATTCGGCGCGGCCGCGATACGAAAGAGAGAGAGAGAGAGAGAGAGAAAGACAGAGAAGGACCGAAGGAGAAGAAACACAGAGCCGTTACGCGCGCGCGCGCCCATACCCGTTTATGCCCGTTCCTCACCGTTGATAATACACACGCGTATACGTGTGTACGCACTTGTACACACACTCACTTACTCGCGATACAAACACATATATATATATACACACGAGCCAGTGCGCATTTGGCGGCGAAGGCGCTGCCGCGCTCGCGCACACAGACGCACGAGGGGACGCGCGAGCGCAGGCGATCGTGTCACCGCCGCGACGACGCGTCCTCGGCTCGCGTTCGCGCACTCTCTCTCACTCACTCGACCGGCGTTTCGCGTCGATTCTCCCGGAATCGGTGACGCGCGCGCGCGCGCACGCACGAGCCGCGATCGAGGAATTTAATCCGGTAAACCGGGACGCGCGCATCCGGCAATTTCGGATCTTTCGGCTTGAACGCGAGGACGGCGAGAAGCGGACCGACCGTCCGACCGGCCGAGGTAACTTAAACTGAACGCCAGCGCGCCTACGGTAAACGAGATTAAGCCTTCGTGCCGGCGGAGCCGCGACGCCGGCCAATCAGCGTCGGGCTTTACGCCGGCCGGCCAATCGGCGCGAGGCCTAACCTGGCGAACGGTTATCCCAGGTGCAGTCAGTAAGGCGCCATTGCGCTGGCACGTTACCTGCTTGGGGGGCGACGCGAGGGGTGGTGGGGGGACGAGCGACGCGCGACCGACGAAGGAGAGAGGGAGAAAGAGACAAAGAATGTTTGGAGAAACGGCCGAATTACATTGGAATCGTATCGGGCACAACGCTCGTTTCTCGCGCCGATTTTTCGCGATGATAAGAAACGACGAAGATATCCCCCGTCCGGTTATAAAGAGACGCTTTATATTTTTTTTCGATCATCCTAGACGTCGATATCGGGATCGACGTGGGTGTTCCGCTTCCTTCGCGTTATACACATACAAGCGTCGCGTACATATACACACGCGGGTTATATACGTGGATCGTTTCTCTTTTAAACGCGCTCGGTATTTAATCTGACAATACGTCGGAGAAAGTGGGGGTTGAATATAAGAGATTGCGTGAAAGTATATTAGATGTAACAATAAAGGAAAAGGAAAGAAAGAAATCATTTATTTTATGTATATGTGTATGTGAGAAATAAAATCATTCAACAATGCTAAGTAATTATGTATGATATATTTATTATATATATATATAATTTATGAAATAAATATAAAATAAATATAGAAATTATGCAATAAATCATATCTAATATTAATATTTTTTTAATATAAAAATTTCGTTAATGCACGAATAATTAGTTATTTTGCAAAATAATAAATGAAGATAGACATGCAAAGTGGGTCAAAAATCTAATCATTCGATATCTGAATCGTTCATAATATGAAAATGTACTGTTAATTATTAATTAAATTTATACTGAAAAGGACTACTACGCACAACGAAACGTGGGGAATAAATATTATTTAGTAAGTAAATATTAATCAACATTTTGGTCGCTTGCCAATTATTCTGGCCACGTCATATTCACTCACCGCAATCAAATTAATTTGACAAACTTGATAGATAGAAATAAAGAGAGAGAAAGAGAGAGATAGAACTTACATTTATTATTTCGCTAATAATGAAATTTCATCACGGAACGAGAGAGAGAAATACCGCAATCGACATATTTAAATCGATAATGAAAACAAAGAAGCCCGAGATATATATCTGCAATGCAGTAGTAGCGAAGATAACGAGAAGGAAAAAAGTAGATTAAAAAATTACGGATATAATAAATCTCATACTGGCTACCGTTAGTGAATTACCCGCGAGAAAGGAAGTCGGGATGAAAAGGCTTCATTTGCATCCTTCGCCATCTTGTGATATCCATTAAAGAGATAAGATTGAAACGATTTAGCTCGCCCGGTAGCGAGAAATTTATATTTAACAATAAGACAAGACTCTCGCGCGCGCGCGCGAGATGTAAAATATAGACTGAAAGATATGCCGAGCATCTCGTCTCCTTATTAATCGTCGACTACGTAGCCAGTTGTATACGAGATTGTGTGTTTCTTATATTTCCAGTATGACCGGAATATTTCCTTTTACCTACATTACTGGAAAATTTGTGTTTTTTTTTTTTTTTAATATGCCGATTAAAATTTTTGTGTTAAATATTTATGTGTTAATTTAACATATTGTTTTTGTGTCAATTGAATTTAAATATTAAATTATTAAAAACAACTGAAAAAAGGTATAGAAATAACACAATGTATTTTTAATTTTACACAATAGATATATTCCGTATTATTAATGACGGAATTTATCTGTTAAAATTTATAGAAGAAAATATTGATTTTATTCTACAATAGGAGAGTGAGAGTGATTGGAAACCGTCAATAACATTTTTCAACTTTTTATCATTTTTTATCATTAAAAATACATTGATTTTACACAAAATTTTTTTAAAATTACTATAAAGTTTGCATTTATTTTTTTTTTTTTTGTTGAAATATTAACGTAGTATTAGTGTCACCATTTAACATATTTATATTATATTAAATTAACACAAAAATTCGTATGGACTGTTTGAGACATACGATATATGTCAAATTTAAGCCAATTTTTCCAATAGTGTACGAGCGTCTGTAGACGTCAAGAGAGAGAGAGAAAGAGAGAGCGAAAGACAGATTATTCGCGTGCAAGATAACGCCGTTAGATCGACGGCTTATTTCCCGTAAACGTGATCGATCTTAAATTTTACGGCATAATTCGTTTCTTCGCGGTCGTACTTTCGTAAAAATTCCATTCTGAAATCTGCTCTTCACGCCGATTCATCCGCGACCGTTCGATCAACCTCTTATCAACTCGGACGCGCGCGAATTCATTGAACTCGAGAAGCCGCTACTCATTGACACACTATTGATTGGAATCAAGCAGGGAGAAGAATGACATAGAGAAGTGCCAAGCTCGCATTCATCCAGATGCTCCCTATCGAATACATATTGAATGTAACAATTACAACGTAACGAATAATTAAAAAGATTCGTCTCATGTTATTCGTTTATAACGAGCTCAACAATTACTGTCCGTCATCCGTAAATGTTCGTTCGTGACGAACTGGGGTTTGCGGTACTACTCTCTATTTTAAACCCATTGTAATCACCAAACAATTGTTCGCAAATATGAGATACAACTGTGACGGAAATGCTCTCGGCGTTATTCCGAGGAGAAAACTCGACAACGAAGTACAAGTAAATTTGAAGTTTCACTAGAAACTGTGTGATATAAGTATCACAGGCTGGAGTAAATTTGAAAAACGGGAAAAACTTTCTCAATTTCAAAATGAGAAGAGTCTACTTGAATTATTTAATCTAAAATAGTTTTTCTTTTGCACACACACACGCACGCGCGCGCGAATTTTCTTAAAAATGTGTTTTAAGGGGTCTTCTAGTTTGACACTTTGAAAATAAGCCAATTTCTGGGAATTAAAAAAAAAAAAAAAATATAAAGCATATTAATTCTAAACTTTGCCCGTTTATTAAATAACATTTCAAGCATATCCTGAATTTTTTTCAAACAAAAATATTTGTTTGTTTCAGAGTTATAGTAGTTCAACCAGGGTGTCTAAAAAAAAAATTGTTGTTTGTGGTGAACATAATTCCAGCCGTTATAGTCATCTGAAATAAAGAAACCAAAAAGATTCTTAATCTGTATGAGTGTGGCTATCGCGTGAACTAGAATAAAAAAAAAATATTGAAAAATAAAAAAATGCCAGCGACTCAAAAAAAAAAATTTCATTTTTCACCAAAAAATTGTTGAAATTATCGAATTTTGCAAATATCGATTTAATTCTAGTTTACATGATAACCACACTCATACAGATTAAGAATCTTTTTGATTTTTTTATTTCAAATGACTATAACGGCTAGAATCATGTTTGCCACGAACAACAATTTTTTTTTTAGACGCTCTGGTTGGATTACTATAACTCCAAAACAAACAAATATTTTTGTTTGAAAAAAATTCAGGGTATATTTGAAATGTTATTTAATAAATGTACAAAGTTTAGAATTAATATATTTTATATTTTTCTTTAAAAAAATTCCCAAAAATCGCCTTTATTTTCAAAGCGTCAAACTAAGAAGACCCTTTAATAAAATGCATAACAATCAAGCCGAACGCGGGGGACTCGCTCGTGCATTCGGTATAAGCTTAGCATAATTTCGCATCGTCGGACAGACAGTATTGCTATAAAAGGGAAAGTACCGCTCTCTTAATGAGATGCCCGTTATACGGCTTCCAGATGTCTGTATGTCTTATTGCAAACGCGAGCGCGGCGGGAACTCTTCCTCGTTCCTGTGCGAAAATTTTAACGCCAGGTGAACGTTGAAACGCGCGCGGACGACAACGCGAAGGACTGCAGCGGAATAGATTCTCGTGTCTCGTTATTTTAAATTAGAGAGCCCGGAATTCCTGGAACGAGTGCATCAACGATACCTGTGTTATTCCTATGTTTATCTCAACCGCCGCACCGGCTCCTACCTGCGTAGCTGACTCTGAAGGATCGCTACAGAATTTATATAGAGGCATATATGTATATTATACACAGTATGTGCGTACACAGGATGTAACAGAAGTCGCTTATTTTCTCGAACCAAAAACATACTACAGATTTAGAATTAAAAATGGCACAAAATTTATGAATGAACTAATTATGAAACCATATTTTTTGTTGATATCGAAATTATAATTGATGAATTATTTTTTTCCGACAGTAGGAGATATATATATATACTATAAACTTTATTTATAATGATATAAAAAAAGTTATTTTAATTAGCGTTTCTTAATCGCGTTTTATGATTAATTTATAATATTTTTGATAATTTATAATGTATATTAATTTATTATATAATATTTATCTATAAATAAACGACAAAGAGAGAAGCCTCTATCTTATAATATCATTTTATAATGATAAGCATATTGCATTATTGCAAATATCAACAAATCTGTCATTTTTCTGCTGACTCATTTTGATGCGTTTTATTCAAACGTCGCTGTATAATATTTACGTGCATAAAATTAAAAAAAAAAAATCAATTAAATTACAAGTAAAATCACAATTTATACATTGCTATATAATTGATATAATTTAAGAAAAAATAAAGCGTGAAAAATTATTCTCTCTCTAAATATTTTTATCTTTTAAATATATTCTCAAATTTGACAACAGAAAGAAAAGACTCGCAGACTTTAAAATTCTATTGAAAAGGATACGTCCTAAAGCACGTCCGAAAGATTAGGACGTCTGTTGACATTTTTCACGACGTAATCTCGACGTTAATACTGTCTGGGGATTTACATTGTTTATCCGGCGGGTCAGAAGAAACATTTTCTCGTTTCCGAATTCGAAATGATGATTGACATAGTGGCGTGTGGAATTTAATTGTAGAGACTAGTCGATTGCGCCTGCGAAGCCCCGTAACTCCTCGCTAATTGAATCTGACAGGGGGAAGGGAAGCAAAGGGGGTTGGCCAGTAAATCGAATTAGCAGTTACCTCGGTTATTTACCAGCATCAGACGATTCTCCGCGAGACATGTTCCGCTCAAGTGATTCGAGAGAGAGAGAGAGAGAGAGAGAGAGAGAGAGAATTCTCTCTTGCTACAGCACAAACGTCCCACGGTGAAATGAGAAACGAAGCGCGGAATTGGTCGACGAAGACATTGTGCATGTCACGGGACACGTTGTCTCTTATTCGTCTTATAAATACATCCCTCGAGCATTCACGCGACTGGCAAAACAAGAATTGAAAAAAAAAAAAAAAAGTTACAATGGCGGAGAAAAATGAAACGATTAAATTATACATCTCAAAGAGTAAAGATATCTCGTACATTAATCTTCAATGATATTCCGTATATATCTGAAGATAAATAAGTAAAGGTACTCTCTCCAATTCAAGAGAAGATTTTTCAAAACAGAAGTCTCGATTTAAAATCTCATTCCCCAATTCCGAATTCAATTCTAGAGAATTGTTTTGTATCCTATATAGTTACGAAAGTATTTTACTCGTGGTGTAAGTGTGTCGAATAGTTTCGCCGAAAATTGAGAGTCACAAAACGCATTGCGTCACTCAACCGACACAAATGAGAAGAAAATTCCACGAACTTGTTCGCCACAAAAGCCACCCTCGCGCGAAAGAGATTCGCGGTCGATCCAAGAATTCCTTACGCATAGTTATACATTGCCGACTACGCGGGGTTTATTTATTAACAAGAATATGCGCGGTGTAAGCAATTTTAAAGATTTGCGCGGTCTTATTAAAATTTTGTTATAAATTTCCGAAGTCTAGCAGAAATCTCGCAAACTAAAGATATTAAAGTAGATGGATCAACGATGATTGCACGCTCAATATGAACGTTCATTGTATTATTTCTTTTATTTCTCGTAAATAAATCGATATAAGATAAATATATGAAATATATAAGTAACATTTTTACTTTTATAGCATATATATATATATATGTGTGTAACTAGAATTATGTAATAATATTCTTTTCTTCTCTTATCGCTCTTTCCTTACATCTTTAGCAAATCTTTTCGTGCTTTGTACACACTTCAAATGAAATAAGTATGGTCACACATTTTACAACAAAGAAGAAAAAATGTAGCACACAGAAAATGTAGCTAAAAGAGACAAAGCTTTATTAAACCATTATATGAAGCTTGGATTGAATCTTATATATTTACATTTATACACATAATCAAGTATATAGCTTCTCGATTTTTATTCTTTAAAAAAACAAATATTCGATTGCATCTTTTCTTGAATGGAATCAATAGCTCAATTATCTTATCTGATTGTGAAAAACA